AAGTCTGGCGGTGCTGGGTCACTCAGCATCTGGACTCACAACCTGAAGGATATTGAACACATCCCCAGCTACTCCGCGGCTGGCACCGACTACACTGGCCCCGCTTTCAAAGCCGGTGCGGGTGCCCAAGCCTTTGAAATGTACGAGGCAGCAAACAAGGAGGGACTGGTGGTTCTCGGTGGCGAGGGGAAAACTGTCGGGATCATGGGTGGTTACATGCAAGGCGGTGGCCACTCGCCTCTCTCGTCTCTCTACGGCATTGCTGCTGACCAAGTCCTCTCCATGGAGGTCACCACAGCCGACGGCAAGTTCGTCACCGCCGACTTCACGCAGAACACTGATCTGTTCTGGGCCCTCCGTGGTGGCGGAGGCAGCACATTCGGTGTTGTGACCTCTCTCATCATCAAGGCATACCCCGACATGAAAGTCACCGCATCCAACTTCTCGTTTGCCGTCGGAGGCGACGTCACACTTGAGAACTTCTGGACCGGTGTCCGGAACTACTTGGATTACTTCCCCTCTCTTTCCGCCGAGGGCATCTACGCCTACTGGTTCATTATTGCCGGCGAGACAGGTCCAACCTTTAAGATGATGCCTTTCTTGGCACCTGGCAAAACAACCGAGGAAACAAACGCCCTCCTTGGCCCCTGGTTGGCCCAGCTCGCCGCGCTGAACATTAGCGTCACGCCCGAAACTACCACTTACGATAACTTTCTCACCGGCTGGACGGCTGCCTTCCCCCTTGAAGTCGTTGAGAAGACCCACGTCTGCAGCGGTTCGCGTCTCTGGCCCAAGGAGAACTGGGACAACAAAGAGGCTCTGGACGCGATGTTCAACGCCATCAAGACCTCTTCCGATGCTGGTCTCATTATCATCGCATTCCTCATCGACCCCTCTGCCCAGGCCACCCCACCCGACAACGCCGTCAACTCCGCCTGGCGCAACACCTACTCCCACATGATTCAATCCGTGTCCTGGCCTCTCGGTGCCAGTGCCGAGTTCCAACTCGAGACGCGCCAGAACTTCACCTTTGGCGCCATGCAGCGCTGGCGTGACGTGTCGCCCGGTGCCGGTTCATACCTCGCCGAGAGCGACATCCTGGAGCCCGACTTCCAGCAGAGCTTCTACGGGACGGCATACGACCGCCTGTTGAAGATCAAGAAGCAGCTCGATCCCAAGGACGTCTTCTTTGCGCAGACCGCGGTCGGAAGTGAGTTCTGGGAGGTCGTCACTGCGGATGGGCTACCGAGCGGAAACGGAAAGCTGTGCAGGGTCGCGAACTAAGTGGTGAGGATGCCGAGGGGGAGGCCGAATGGCGCTGCCTGAAGCTGTGCGCTTGAGAGTTCTTCTTCTCATACGATTCCGATCGTGATCTAGTTTGGGGAAGTTAAGATTTTATGCAGACATGTGAATAAATGAATGCCAAAGGCAATGTTACGAAATATATGCAATAGCGTAAATAGAGGATGCCATGATAGGCGGACTTACCGCGACTTATTTATATACAAATCAAACTATTTATTCAGTCTTATAATGATGATGGTCATTCACAGCATCCTAGAAACTATATCACGATATCAGCTACGGAGGTGCTTCTTTTGCATGTGTTATTATTCAAACATGTTATCAAAGTTTAGCTTTCTCGGAGCTTTACATTTGATTTCACGATGGTGACGGAACCCTCCCAACTGCCGATGCCACCGATATCCCGTATACGAAAGGCACCAAAGAGTTCGTTTGTCAGCACTTATAACGGCATATCTGTCATTTTGAATTGCAGAGTCATAAACTATACGAGTGATATCAATTAATATGTACATATAGAAGGCATCAATATATAAATATTTTCTCGCATAATTACTAGCAAACGAATAATACTATATAGACATTTATCTCACGATCACAAACGCAATGGACATCAACGCAATGGACCAAGGCCTGCTCAAACGCAACCCCGCCCTCACCCCCGCCGAATTCTCTCACCACTGGTACCACATCCACGCCCCCCTCGTCATCCCCTTCTTCCTCCACTCCGGAATCCAGCACTACGAACAGGTGCGCCCTTACCTCCCCACCTCTCCCCACAGCCCCGCTAAACAAACACAGATGCACGCCCCTCTCTCCACCGACGACCCCGATCTTGACATCTCAGTCTGGGATGGCGTAGCGGGCATGCCGCCGCAGGAAGTCCTTGATGCGCCATCGACGCTGCCGAAGTGGAAGGCGGATTATTATCGTGAGGTGATTCTTGTGGATGAGAAGAGGTTCTTGGTGAGTGCGGCGTTGGAACATATTGCTCGTGTGAAGCCGGGGACGATGAGGGGGGAGAGGAAGGTGGTGATTCAGGAGGGGAAGCCGTTGGTGGAGGTTGGGGAGGAGGTGTGGAGGGTTTGGAGGGAGTATGAGAGGAGGGGGGAGAAGGAATAGTGGGTTCGGCATGGGGTAATCTAGCGTTGGGAAATATGATGGATCTTTGCAGGTGGATAGAGGGGTGGAGGTTGGAGCTAGAGCGGTCGCCATTCCAGGTGTGGTTCTTGGGGAAGGATTATTTTTATTAGAGCCAGTTGTGATGATCTCACAATATCAGTCAGAGCTTCACATATGAGAAAAACAGAAGGTTATCAACTCTGGTCCTTGTTTCGTATTTACCAGAGCCAGCGAGAGCAAAATGTTGACTCGGCAGAGAAAGCAGAAGTACAATGAGCACTTGTGCATTGCGCGGTGCAAATACCACGTCAAAAAGGCACCAGACGCCTTTGACGAACAACAGGTCGAAAACGCAAACCTTCAAAGACTCCTATTGACGCCATTGGCCGGAGACCATGATTCATGATCCCTTCGGGGCACTCAGCCAATGTATTAATCGTGCTTTACTGCCGCTGAACCCTTGCATCGGATGAGAATCTCTTCTGATTCGGCCACTGTAACGTATGGCAAAAGGGTCCAGAACAACTCCGTGCGGTTGGCCGACTTGTCTTGAAAAGCAGCCCGAATAGCAGCCTTATGGATATCCATTTGCGCAATGGCTGTTGTGGGTAAGTCGTTAGCTGATGAAGGCGATCCTGGAAGGTCGGCCGACTCAGATGGCGTGCGTTCCACGGCAGCATTCTTCTGCTTCTTGGTTGGGTTCGCTGAAGTATCGACTTCATTCTCGGCGTCTATTTTGCAGGATAAACACATAAAACTAGCTAGATGTTTTCCAAATAAACGGGGGCAGATTGGGGATGGACAAGGATGCTCACTAGGGATAACGACGGAATTCTCAGTTGCAACTGAAGGCCTCTTTCTCTTTCGAACTATGGTACTGGAAGAAGCAGTCGGGCTCAATGGCTTGGACAGATCTGGTAGAGTTTGCGAGGAGGGATATCGAGATTTATTCCTCGTGGAAACAACTTCATTTGGCAAGCCAGTCTTCAGGTTTACTGTGCATCAAATTAGTCAATGTTTATAGCCAGAGGGGGAAGGATCACCTACGGTTGTTCTTACGATAGTGATCTTCTGATGCCAACTCGCGGTTCCGAGTAAGGCCCTGGGGCCAATCCAGAGGAGTGCTGTCTATGGGGTCTCTCGGATATGAAGACAATAGCCCTACTCTGAGAGTTCCGTCTGACCTTTGGGGGAATACGAGCTCATCACGCCATTGTTCCCAGTTTGGATACTTCTCTTGGAAAACCTTCTGATCATACTCCTCAACTGGAAGGTTCGCGGTCGCACTTCCAGAACCCCGAAGCACCAAGATTCCTCCCTTGTTTTTCCAACCCAAATCGAAACCACTGATTTCCCGTCTGGGGTTAGTAGCGGGCGGCCTAAGTTGCGACGGCAGCGTAGAGCACGAATTTGGAAATCTTTGGCGAGGTCACTCTCGTTGAGATCGCAATCGGATTTCTTAACCCACACTCTATGGCAATGTAGAGCGAACCCAAAACTAGATGGGACACGCAATGCATTGCAAGCGATATGTCCTCTATGCATTTATAAAGACAGACAGTCCCAGGGGCTGGGTCCCAAACAGGCCTCTGGAGGACCTCGTAATCTGCTGGCTTCGGAGTCATCGGATATGTATAGTTGACGACCGACGAGAAAGAAGTAAACAACTCACACGGTAGGTGAGTGACGAATGGATGAGGGTCAACACCCCCAGGAATAAACGTATGGCGATGGTGGAAGGTAGAAGTTGTGGGCAAAGCAAAGTCAGCACAAGATACGAAAACAACAACAACAAGCGAGACAAGAGTGAATTTAACAACAAAGCCTGTATAATTAGACACAATAACTCGACGGAGGGAAACTAGACGCAACAATTTGAGGAAAAGTGACTAGAGACAATAGCTCAAGGAAGAGAAACTCGGGAAAACGGCTTAAAGAAGAGACGCAAACGCCAGATAGTGTCGGAGAAACCAGGCTACGCTTTCTCACTACCTTCCTTTTTTCAATTCAGCTTGTACAAGTTCTGAATTTAGAGGTCTCTCTCACTACCTCCCTTCTTTCAATTTAGCTTCTACAAGTCCCGAATTTAGAGGTCTGCAGAATTATTGAAATATAAGTGACCATTGATGCATTATCATTATCATATACCTCTTTACAGCTTTTGTGATGTTGGATACAACAGTGTATGGTACGTTCTCTTCATTGTCTTGTCCCACCCAGTTTATCCCATCAAATATAGGATAAAAAGAGATATACTGGGTATAGATTCGAGCAGTTACAAATATAAAAATGCTTTACCGGCCCCTACTCTCGCTAAATCATTATTCTGGCGGGAGCTGTGGCATCCAATATACACTCGATATATATACAACCATTTGCGCTGACCCGGTAGGTGTTAAAATTGTTGAACGATGCAAAAGTGAATGGTTCTATTCTTTGTAGTAGTTGAATCGTTGATTATATTTACATGAATAGTCATGGCGTGATAATGTCGCAAAAAAATGCAAAAAGAAAGGACAAAAAAATAGCAAAAAATATAATCAAGGTGATTGATCCCAACAGGTTGTTTCTATTGGAGAAACGGCGAATCGAACGCCGGACCTCTTCTATGTTACAGGAGACGAATCTCAAGTGCTAAAGAAGCGTTATACCACTAAACCATATCCCCTTTTTTTGTTGTGTCTGTATAATTATTAATCATATTATACCTAGCTAATGTGCGGTTCGGTTGTATATCGTTTCTCCGAAACCCTACCAACCGGAAAAACACGGCTTGGTCACGTGAAATTTTATTTCCAATCACTCCCGAAATCATCACTAATCCGAGCCTCTTACGCTCTCCCCTCGCCGTTCTTACCAAGCCCATCGTGTTTCTTTTGTTTACCTGCATCAGCGACTGACGCCGGCGGTTCCTCGACTACCGTTTTTTGTGCGATTGACTTCTTTAGACCTTCTTTCCGGTGCTCACCTCCCACCCCGTTTCCACGATGCTCGCCCGCACCGTTGGTCGCCGCGCGCTGACCTCCCGCGTCGCCTCGCCCTCTCGCAAATTCCTCACCACCTCTGCTGCGCCTAAGAAGCGGACATGGAAGGGCGCCGCAGTTCGCTGGGGTTTGGCCGGAGCTGGATTGTACTACTATAATACGAACGACCTCTTCGCGGAGCAAGAAGAAGGTATGACTACCCAGCTTCCGATCGCGGCACCGGCAACATCAGGATTCATGGGTCATGGGCTAACTATTGTGTAGCTGCCATTAACAGGTTAGAAAAGAGCATCCACCATATCCAGGAGAGCGAGCTCCCAACTATCGAAGCCATCGTTGCCGAGAAGCGCGCACGCGCCGCTGCCCGCGCCACCGAGGACAAGGCAAAGGCCAAGGCCGCAGCAGCCGCCGAAGCTGCTGCTGCCGCTGCACCAACAACCGATTCATCGGAAGAGTCTGAGGGAAGCGGTGCCGCCGCACCTGCTACCGAAGGCGAGGATGAGGGCGCAGTCCAGGGTGGTTCGATCGAGGACCTCGAAGCGGAAGCCGGCCAGGAAGGCGCCTTCAACCCCGAGACCGGCGAGATTAACTGGGACTGCCCCTGCCTAGGTGGAATGGCACACGGCCCCTGCGGCGAGGAGTTCCGTGAGGCGTTCAGCTGCTTCGTGCACAGCACTGAGGAGCCGAAGGGAATGGAGTGCATCGAGAAGTTTAAGTACGTGTTTGAGTGCTACTGGAGCGCTGACCCGGCGCTGGGGATGGAAGAAGTGGAGTGATATTTCATGGGACACTGCTGATGTGCTCGTATAGGGGAATGCAGGATTGTTTCCGGGCGCACCCGGAGATGTACGGCTCGGAGCTCGAGGACGACGAGGAGGAGATAGAGGCCGAGATCCGCGCGCAAGAGGCGGCCAAGGCGGAGGCACGGGATAACGAGGCTGCTGCTACGGAGTCTCAGGATGACAAGGTCACACCGAAGAAGGAGGCCCAGGATGTCAAGGCGGCAGTGAAGGAGAAGGCACCTGCACCGATACACCCCGAAACAGCCGATGCGGGCGAGAAGGTGGTGCCGAAGACGGCATACGATGCGACTGATGCTGATGCAAAGGTGGACGAGTCCAAGGCATAGACGGGCGAAGGGTGAATTGACAAGGGTGTCCGGATACCAAAAACATTTTTAATGGCATAGACGGCTAGTGTCCTGGGCGCTGGTTTTCAACATAGAAGTAGCGTCGGCGCAGGTAGGGAACTTGACGTGGTGCCGTGAGAAGGCGAGATATTGGAGTGTATATATGTATACTACTACCTTAGATGTACACCACCATGTAACAAGCAAAAGAATAGAAACTCCACCTCCATCATTGCACCGTCGTCAGGGGCTGAAGTGCGCCCCCCCGCCCATATTTATCCTAAAATAGACAATAGAATTGAGAGTCTGATATGTGGCTGTGACGGGGAGCCTCTGGCGAGTCTGAGATTGAGGCGCGAAGGGAGGAGTCATTCCTGAGCTCGCGACAGATAATGGCGAGGCTTTTCTTTCCTATAGCTAGTTATGGCCCTCTTCAGCGTCCATTTACTCACCGCCTCGGGCTTGTTCCCTAGCACCAACTTGAGATAGTAGTGGCATGAATGCACGGCAATATTTATAGGCGGTGACAACAGCGCGGTGACAGTGCTGGACGAGGTATCTGAGCGGTGGCAAGAACTGTGCGGCAACATCTTGATCCACAGAAACTAGCCTGGCCGCATTAAAGTAACTGCAAGATCAGTGTATTATTGCTCTAGCGTGCCTACTCCGTCTTTCCTTCTTCGCTGTATACTGGATACCCTCAAGAATCCATAGCAGCCACGTCTGCTCTCAGAGCACCACCATATATAAGCGCATCCTTTCTAGCATTCACAGCAATTAATCTTAGTTTAGCGTGGTCTCAAACCCTGTCATGTGTATTCATGAATTTCAGTCTCTCTGCTTGAACCTCAATAAATGGGTGTCTATACTACGCATCATCTCCCCCAGCCTCTATAACCTCATCATTAACCTCCGCATAACAAAGCAGCCTTGGGAAATTATCAGAAGCTCTCTTCTCCTCAAACTCTGACCCGACAATAAACCCCCCAATGTCACCGCTCTTCTCAAATCCTCCTTCGGCTTCTGTACCTTTCTTAAGCCGAACCAAAGCCGAGCCATCGCATCTGGCACGGATATCAGGGTCGCCATACGCCACACAGTCGCTGGTCGCAAAGACTCCCAGGACAACTTCGTCGGTCTGTGAAATTATAGTTTTGCCTTTGCATAACATCGCCCCATGACAGCCAGTCCCATCGTTGTCGATCATGTAAACATCATCCATCACCAACTCGTCGCTTTGAAGCAGCTTCCCTTCTCCTACCCGTGGCCTCGGTTGTCCCAACTGCTTGTTCGAGTGGGCTGTGGTTTGAAGCCCGTTCTGGTAAAACAGCTTCTGTTTATTATGCGCGAACCAGCCTGGCTGTGTCTGCAAACGCTTCGCATGCTCGATTAAAGGTAGCTCTGGCAACGCGACGATGATATCGTTGTTGATGAAGCTGATGGCTAGGGTATCAGGAAATCCCCCATGCATCAGTTGACGAAGGGTATCAGTCTTCGGGATATGGTGAGATCGAATATCTTCAGCGTGTTCGTCGTCAAGCTCAAGCACCATCCTATAATTCCCAAGGACTCCACCAATGATCTCGCACGGAAGGCTTTGACCATGAACAAGCCAGATGCCTAGCGAACCTCCAATCAAAAAAGGTCTTTTTGATGGCTCGGGAGTAGTTTCTTGACACCAAATCACGACGTATGGTGGCATTTCGTCGATTGCTGTTACTTCTCCGTAATGAGTCCACATGTACGCAAGGAGCTTGTGGAGATTGGCAGTTGTAACCAATTTGTAACCTCCGTCTTCGTTCTTTCAGGAGAACTCTTCGAATGTGAGGGATTTTAGGCCGCAGCCGAGGTCGATCACTTGGTCGTTGAGAGAAGACATCGTGCGTGTGCGTGCGTGTGGTGTGGTGTGTTGGTAAATATGAGTGTTGCAATATGAAGCCGTCGTTTGTAATTCGAAGCAGGGAATAAAAGGGCATATGTCGAGTTTTATAGAGACATTCTACGCTAAAGTGATAGCTCTACAGTTTAAATGAGAATCAGCTAGTCTTCGTTTCCCAAATATGGTGTGTTCTCTGTAGACGCTATTAATGGAGTTGGAATTTAAGCTTTCTTTCAGACGGGAGCTAATTATTAGCTCCCGCCGCTAAGATTTACAGTTTCCATCACCCACCTCGTCTATTCATTTCTGGATCATTGAGAGTGGATATTTTATTTATAGTTACTGTAAGTGACAGGAGACGTAATAGTCTCTATCAGCTGCTCTGAATCTCTAAGTTGCTGTTGTGCGCAGTGTCTTCTTCTAACTCTTTTTAGCAGCACGAGCAACAACAGTTCTTCACTCACTCTCAATTTATACGCACTTCGGAATTCACTGTGCCATCTCTACATAATCGCTTTTAACATTATATATGAGCAAACTTAACACTTGGATAAAATGCGGGCAACGTCACTCATTATGATGGGATGCGTAGCACGCGATTCAAGGTAGATCGTTATTTTTAGCTACGATACTTCGATCTATTAGCTCGGATTCCCAGTACAGTATATACAACTTATAAATGAATTGAATGATTTAACTATATAAATGGTCCACGTAGCTATACATGTGACTCCCGGCAAGTCGTTAAAATTCGGAGTCTCAACTGCTCGCACACATAAACGGTATGCGAGCTTCTTCTACTCTCCTTCACCACTTCTTCAACGTGTTAAGCCACTTCTGAATGAACGTAATATGCGACTCATCCGCAATACTAGCAGCACCCCACGAATCACCAAGCCACATAATCTCAGTCGACTCCTTAGTAGTCGGCGGGAAGTGTACGAGACCCGCTCCATTCGGGTCCCCAGACTTGATAAAGTTGAGCCAATACTGCGACATCGTAGCCTCGATAGCCAAGTCATCAGCGCCCCACGTAGTCGGAACGCGATCCCCAGAGCCATAAGGCATGTTGTTGAACACGTACCATAGCTCCGATCCGTGATAAGCGCCAGCGGTCTGGTTAGGTGGCGCATGGGTCCAGAAGTACGTGTAGACGTTGCTCTTGGCGCCGCCAGCTGCCCATTCCGAGGCCCAGATCCAGAGCCCAACACGGCTGATTTCGAGCCAGAAGCTGGTAGAAGAGGTGCCGGCCTGGGTGCTGTTGCTTGACGGGTACAAGGCGAGGTACTCGTCTGTGAGGTTTCCCATGATGGCGGAGATTACAGTCGAATAGTCGCTGCCACTGTCGGAACCAGCCTCCCCGCTGTTGGCTCCAGTCAAAATGGGCACGTCGGTGTGAGCACCCAGTTCCAGCGTATCTCCGTATCCATGCACTAATACGTGCCCATCGATGACTGGGCGCCACAACGGGGGTTCCTGGATGGCGGAGCTGTTCTCGAAAGCGGTGCCTACAACGATGGTATCAGCGTCGTTATCGGCCTCGAGAAGAGTATCCATAGGCAGAGCCCGCAGCTCGGCAATGGTAGTAACGTTCATCGTCGCGAGGAAGCTGACTCCAGAGCTCTCGGCAGCGTCTTTGGTGCGGTAGCTTGTCGCCAACCCAGCCGTCTCGGGGT